TTTTTTTTTTTTTTTTTTTCTTATAAAAAAGCTCAGAAATATTCTCCCAAGGAAGAATTACTTACTTTATTTTCATACTTATGTATCTTCATCTATTTCGAGCTGGTTTCATTTTTGAATTAATGATTTCAAAGAAATAAAGTTAAGATTTCCGGAAACCTTATTTAAATCCGAAAAAAGATGTAATGTTAAACTTTTGTGTCGAGATTCTAGTTGTACGTTAAAAGTACTTTGTTCAAGTGATAAGTTTTTCTTTAAAGAATGTGTATGTATTCAAGGCCTACTGTACAATAAAAGTATTTGCATATTTCTAATATTGTTCGCAAAGTTGTTATAATTTTGATTTGTTTTTATATAATGACTAAATGACGATCTGTGCTTCTTCATTTGAGATTTTCGAATAAAATGTTGGCTATTGCAGGACCCCAATTGCCAATTTGTAAAACTATTGGATATTTAAAACATTAGTTTGAAATTTGCAATCGTGCTATTCTTTCATATTTTATATTTCTTAAACTATAATACGATATTTAAATTTATCAATTAAAAATATAAGGATTTACATGTAGATATATAAAATTATACAAGATTATATATATATATATATATATATATATTATTATCGTTTTATTTAGTTTAATGAAAGAGTTTAATGATTTAATGAAATATATAACTATATAAATTATAACTATATAACTATATAAATATATAACTATATAAATATATAACTATATAACTATATAAATATATAAATTATTTATGCAAACATTTGTTTATGAAGAGCGAGAGATTGCCATACCTTTATATGGAATAACTATATATATATAATTTCCACATTCTTAAGTTTCTTCAAATGAATAATATGGCACGTTTAAAAATTAATTATAAAAACGTAATAAAAAATATTTACAAAATTTCAATGCAAAAAACCACTATATTTTTCTATCAATTATCTAATAATTTCATAAATTTAGTGCATCAATTTGATACAATTTATAAATCCTTATTTTTTTTAAATGTTCAGACCTATTAAATGTATATATATACACACACACGCGAGCACGTACGCACACGCGCGCGCGCACGCGCGCACACACACACACACACACACACACACACACAAATGTAGATACTTAACTACGCGGAAATTCATTTCTGTAAGCAAATGAATTCCCATTAATTGAAGTTATATCCTAAACACTTAAATTAGTTAGAGTATTAAATATATATAGTACGTGGTAATAAAGTATGCATCAGTGATTAATCAACTTGTATACGTATATTTAATAATAGTAAAATGTAATCGAGTGATTATATGACAAAATAATATCATAGATGTAGAATATTGAAAATTTTGTTACTTTTTCTGAAATTTTATTTACAAATGATGTACGCAATTATTCTAAAATTCTGTTCCTTTATCGAGATATATGACGGTGTAATCTAAATTGTATTTAATAATAAAATTATTTGCAAAATATATTACATTACACAAAACTTAAATGTTTAAACTTTAAGAAATATATCGATAGATTAATGATATTGTTAAGTAGCTGCACTTACATAAATCGAGTTAATTTTTTGAAGAAAGGTAAAAGAAGAAAAAAAAGAATAATAAAAATGTAATTATGTTCTGAGCTTTTTATACCGTAGATTCTATAACTGATTGATCGATACGGGATTGGAAGCGTGAGTTGCGTCACTTGCTATTTCATTAAAAATTGCGCAAAAATTTTCCCAACGTGACATATCACATCTTGATGATATTAAAATGACGATGAATGCTATTGAAGAATACAAGTGAATAAATAATAATAAAACTACGGAATATAAAGAGTCAAAAGCCCAGTGCATTCAAGGAATATTTTAAAACCAAGAAAAGTCAAAGTGTATTTGTTATTTTAAATTGAGTTTGAAAATCTGTCTCTTCTATAAGCAAATGTCATTCCTGATTGAATGAAAAAAATCACGAAGCGTTTTCACATTTCATAAAATGTCTTCATTATCTTTGTCTTTATATGAAAATATTTAAAACATCGATGTTTTGGAATAACAAAATAATTTCCTATCTTTGGCTGTACGGATAAGAGACTCATGCATATGGCATTTTCATGTACATTAGAGATGCTGCGCATATTAAATAGTATAAGGCTAATATCATATATGGTTACCGACGTTTCAAATGATCTTGATATATCTATATTGAAAAAAAAAACCACGATATAATAATATTATTTTATGACTTTATGGCGTTATTTAAAAAATATATTCAACAATAATTTAATATAAATAGTGAAATCTTTTATTACAAATGAGTCTATCTTTATTGTATTTTTTTGTCTTTCGTTTTTCATTTTTATACGATACATAATTATACGATTAATATCGAATTAATATCAATTATTAACAAGTGAATTTATATTGCTCAATGAATTATTACTCATTTATAATTGTATATTAATATTTTCTCACTTGTTCCGTTATTTTTATTACTATCTGCCAATTTATTCCATGCAAAGTTTTATATAATTAGTTGGTATAATTATCTCCACATACGTTAACATAGATATACTCCTTCGACATTTTAAATATTACGACAAATAATAATATTTGTGTACTGTTTAGCATTCATTCATTAAAAAAGTTCTTTTATTAATATATGACAATTGATTGATTAATGATAAACAATGAAGAAGATTTGAAAATTAAACATTTCTTTAGAATATCTAAGCATTTTATTACCACTGAATAATTTTTTTACATTTTTCATTTATATTTTAATAAATAATTATGAAAGTAGCAATAATTAAATTAAATAATGGTTTTTAAAAGCGTATAAAGATAATTCTTTTATCATTTTTTCAATAGAAAAATATGATGGTTTTATTTCAAAGAATAGAGAACGTTAAATTTAAATTGTTCCCGGGCCATCGTGTTCAGCTCTGAATAATAATTGTAGATTAATGGAAAATATTAATTTAACAGAATTTTTAATGTTCACATGATAAAATTATTAATTAATTAAGAAAATGTTTCAATTTAATTCCGATTTCACACTGTATTTATAGAAATTATCTAAAATAGGAATTTGAATTAATTGAAAAATTTCGAAAGTATGGATCCAATACTCTTGATTCTTTTAAATCTTGTTCATGCGAAGCAATAATTTCAGGAATTTTATGATCATACTTCTAATAATAGACTTTCTTATAATTATTATTAATTAAAAATTTTATTAAAACTCATTTAATTATTTTGTTGTTTAATTTTAATAAGCAATACATAATTTTCAATCATCCTTAATAATAATAATATATTTTCCATAAACACCCGCCATTAATTTTAAACACAGTCTACTAAATTAATATAATGAAAATGAAGATAAATTTTATGTTATTTAATATTGTTGCATCGATAAGATACGTGTAACCTGTTATTGATGTTTGATAAAAACATTGGATAGAAATTCATGGTATAAATGATGAAGAGTAAGAAATTGAGCGAATTCGAGTGTACATTCTATTCGAGTTCGGGTGTCGCTGAGCCGGAATCCCATTTACCACGAGCATTCGAACTTGAACTTACGTAATATTGTATGTCTTTGCAGTACCGCCAGATATCCTCGATTATCCTACGAGCACAGATATGATGGTGAGGGAGGGTAACAATGTTACATTGCGCTGTGCAGCGACTGGTACACCTGAACCGACGGTTACGTGGCGCCGGGAAGCAGGAGGAATCATTACACTTTCTAATTTACAAGAAGGTAAGATTGTTGTTAATGCTCTTAAGCAATTAATTCTCTAAGAAATTTGAAAATATACCTAATTAATTAAATTACGGAACATATTTTTTTAGTTTTAGTCGACTGCGTAGCATTATTATGTGAAAGCATGTTCGTGTGACATTTTAAATATTTAGAAAAAAATTACTCTTAATGCATTTTTCTAAAAAAATTAATATTTTATCTAATTTTAGATTTAATACGATAATACTCTATTGTAGAAGTAAAACGCTCATAAATATATGTGTGCACTGCACATAATTGCATGAAATATTTGTCCGTACTTTAGACACTAATGTGTATTTAATTTGGACTATATAATTAAAAGATTCATATTGAATATTTAATTAAATATTTGAGAATTTGATAAGACAAAACATTAGATTATCGACGTGTTTCAAATGGTAATTTCAAGAATAGTTTTCTTAATATTTTGTAAAAATAACAAACTGAATGAGAATGTATTTTCATATCGCTATTTGGTATTATGTTTTACGATTTTCAAGCGCATATTGCTCTTTTTCATTAACTTAAATTTATTTTAACTCAATAAATGCATATTAGAAGATAAAACTATTTCTATACTATTAAATGGATTTTCAAAATTATATAATAAATCATTGGTTTATTTACCAATTGAAATATAAAAGTGTTAAGTCATTCCGACGATGTAAGTAAAATGTAAATGTAATGGCTTATATATTTGTGAAATTTTAATTTTTTTCAATAAGTGAGAAAATTGAAACGATAATTTAATATTAACAATTTTATTAACAAATTTGCGTATGTAAGATTATTGGAATTTAAATGCATAAAAAATTGATAACCTTTTTCATAAACATAAAAATCTATTTCTTTTAAATACACAGTATTTATATTATGTGCATATTTAGTGATTATAAATAATTTATTCTTTACAAAAACTTAACATTTTTATAGCTCGAAAATTTTTTCTAATTATACGTGGAGTGCGTTGTTTTACTTTTGATTACACTTATATAAGAACTAGCTAATTACGAAACGTGAAAATACATTGCATTAAATTTTTATCATAGTTTTAAAAATCATTTTTAGCCTATTTGCGTGTAATTTCAGAAATAATTCAGTGCTTTAATGAATATTTATTTACAATTTTGTCATTATCCATATTACAGTGTTTAAGCCGCATAAGTAAATTAGCTAAATAAAATAAGCCATAAATTTTCGCTACATATTTGTTTGTTTGTTTTTTTTTTTTAAATACGTAAAACTTTACCATAATATTAAGGAATAACATGAATGTTCAATCTCTGATAAAAACAGCACAAAAGCAGTTAATGGTAAAATTACGTAAAATCGGTCGCGCCATTGACCGTCGGATAAAACAGCTGCGATTCACCCGGGCAATAATAGTACAGCCAATGCACACTGTTTTCGATTATCACGTAATATTGGCACTCATTGTTCCACTATCCATGTTCACACCATACGTGCAAACCCATATAAAGCAGGAGATTAACATGGTTTCGCGGAAGTGCATTGCAGTAGCGTTAGTCGATGAATGGCGCGACCTACGTCGTTTCTCATTCTTCCTTCTCCCTCGCTAAATATATGATTTGTTATTGGTTAACATATACAGTGGCAAGTATCGAGGGCCCAGAGCTCGAAATAACACGTGTTAACCGACTGCACATGGGAGCCTATCTCTGCATCGCTTCGAATGGGGTGCCGCCGACAGTCAGCAAACGAATTGTCCTCATTGTTCATTGTACGTATATCGCATGCTCTTTCGTCCCTTTCTCTCTTTCCC